AAACAAAAAAAATCATTAAGTGTGGAAAATGGTTTCACATATTTTACTTTGCCATAGTTTGAACTGTGGGAAATGATTAAATTGCCACAGTTTAATTATTAAGTATGGAAAAATGATTTCACATATTTTACATTGCTACAGTCTTTGAACTGTGGGAAATTAATGAGTCACACATTTTAAATTTTCACACTTTAATTATGAAATGTGGGAAATGACTGAAAAAAAATTTCAGCAGCAATTAAATATTTAATAAAATTTGAAATTAAATAAATTAAACATTTAAATTTTTGGACAAAAAATTTATATAATATTAATATTTTAATGAAATGAGTGAATGTAATCCATATTAATTAGATAGTGTATATAAATATTAAAAATAAATATAATGTGATTGATATTAGATAATACAAATTAAAAATTATAATTAAAAGTTTAATTTACATATTAGTCCAGTTCAATTAAAAGATTAAAAATAACACAAGGTTAATTGGTACACATTTCGCATGAAAAAACACTTGGAGAAGGAGTCCTGTTTATTTGTTTCACTATCATCTAGACTTGCATTGCAAGATGAACCTGCATTTAGAAAATAAATATCTTACATTAAAATATTGTCATAAAAAAATTAAATATGTAGATGAAAAATGTTTAAGTAAATATATACCAAATAGAAGTACTGCATTTGTAAATTTGGCTTCTATTATCTTTATTATTCTTTCTTCCATTTCTTTTGACTAGCTAGAAATTTCGCTCTTAGATCTTGTTTTATGTCTTGGTAACGTAATTGCCTCTCTTCTTTCAATATCCTATTTCGCTCTTCTAATAACTTATTTTGCTCGTCCATTTCTTCTACCCGAACTTTCAATTGATTAAATTCGTTTTCGATGATCAAGTTTGATCCATCTTGATGGGGGAAAAAAAATCCTTTTTCATATATCTACATCAATGACGGTCCCTCAACTTCAATTAAAGTTTCATTTTTCTTGTGGCACCCTAAAAGCATCGTGAGCCATTTCATGAATAGGATCATCATGCTCCTCGTTTTGATTTTCTATATTTTTTCTGACAATAGGTGTGCTAAGAAAAGGAGCTATAAATTCACGTTTTTCACTATGTACAACTCAACATGTATATTTTGAGAAGGAAAATGATTTAGCAATTAAATGGTCCCGCACATCTCATACGTTTCGTTTTTTTAAATTACACGTAGGACATGGATAAATTATTTTACCATCAACACTATTTTTAACAAAAGCAAATTTAAAAATCCTTCAAGACAATTCAAATATTCTCTTGTATTTTGAAGTTTATATATCTAAGATTTATCCATTTTTTGTATAAAAGTAAAAAGTATTAATAATTTTATTTATTAATTAATATAATTACAAAGCATATTTCGAGACGAATGAAATAAAAATTTTAATCAACTATGAATTTTATTGCTAAAAGCCTCAATATAATTCTAACAAATAAAAGATATATTTTTTATCAATATTTAAAAAATGGCATGACGTTATGAATTCATAAGCCTCGGTGTAATTTTTTAGCCTAGTTTCATGATCTAAAATCTGCATTCCAAATCCAAGCTAATTCATTCTAATGAAAAATAAACTAAAATTTAAACCAAATGATTAAGATAGAATGATGTAATTTTTTAGCCTACATAAAAAAAATACAAGCTAAAAGCATTAATTAACTAAAAGATATAAAAAAAATATAAAATTTAAGGTGTAGGAAAAAAAAATCTAGAGAAGTGAACATACCTTCGATGCTGCCTCCTCCTCAATCTTTGTCACTCTTCTCATACAAAGAAGTTGAATTTATAGGAAAAAAATTTCCCATGGTTCACTCATGAATCCCATGGGAAACTGTAAGATTCCACAATACCTCGACAAAAGTGGAAAAAACTTTCCTACGGTTCATGGGAAGTGGGAAATTTTCTTATCGTTATTTTCTTATGTTAGTTGACGAAGTTGTAGGAATTTTTTATTATTATTTTTTTTTTAGTAGAAGACGATGCTCATCATCGGTTGTGGGAGACATTTTTCTTTTTTGTTTTTTCTTTTTTCTTTTTTGGTTTCCAATGGTATGCCAATAGTTGTCAATGATGAGACTAATTTTTCAAGAAATTTAAGTACTCTTTCTTAATTATAATATAAGATTTTTTTAAAATTTTTTTATCTAGTCCAAAATATAGGGCATTATATAACTTTTATATTTATTTATTTTAACTATACCCCTACTTCATTTATTACTCATTTTTAAAAAAATCATACATTAAAATTTTAATTATTATTATCAAGACTCTTATATAAAATATTTAATAGGATATAAATGAAAAGACGTGAACATTTTTAAGAATTTAATGTTTCATCACAATGCAATATTATTTATAATAGTAAATTAGTTAACTATAAATTATATTATGGTATGAAAGAGTATCATTTAAAGTTTCTTTGCTTTCTATTTTCTCTTCTGTCTTTTTTATGAGTACTACTGAAGACTTGTTATTATTCTAAAAGATTTTTGGCTGATATTATTGCAGTTGTATTTAATATGCTTATTTGGATGATAAGAATATAAATGATATATGAACTTATCTTCACTTAGCGTAAATATAAAAATTATTCTCAAGCTAGTCTGAGTTTGAGGTGAAATATAAAAGTTATGCTTTTACATTTTAACAATATTCCATGAAAGAAAAGTAGGAACATTTCTTTCTTTTTTCATCTTCTAAAAATGGAAAAAAAGTAATGATATAGGATTCTTTTTTTCATGAACCACAAAAATCTTCAATATTATACGCAATCATCCATAGCAAAAATGACTCTTAGAACTAGATATGAAACTAAATATGAAACTGACTTTAAATATGGGCATTGATGTTAAAATTTTGTTGATAAATAATTTATAAAAAATTTTATAAGCATTTTTTTTAGTATGAGATTTTTTGCCATAATTTTTGTAGTTGCTTGAAAATAAACTTACTCTCAAGTTTCTATACAAAATATAAAATATGAAAATATAATTATTATTTAACAACATTAAACAACAGAAATATGGTATACATACTGTATATTTTGTGCGTGTGCTATTTTTTTCCACAAAGATCCAAAGAGGAGCTTCAAGAAAAATTGCTCATAAATTTTGGGGGGAAATAAGAAGAAACAAAAGCATGGAGGGCAAAGAGTGGAACTTAAGCCAAAGTCAAGTTGGCTGGTCAAAAATAAAAATAAAAATTCATGCACACTTATCACGTTTGGTGTAAATAAATTGTGTCTTTAGTACTGCATGGAGACATGAAGAGAAATTATAGTACCGTGGAAGGAAATACTCACATAATTAAATTTCTTATTTTTTAATTAAATTAAAATTTACAAGTTTTTATATTTATAGTAATTTTTTCTTTTCAATAATGTTAATATTTAAAATAAAATATAGTACTGTGGAAGGAAAAATACTTACATAATGAAATTACTTTATTTTCAATTAAATTAAATATGTAATTTTTTTGTATATTATTTATTTTATAATAAATTTTTATTATTAATAATGTTAATATTTTTTAAAAGTAGTATTATCGTGGATGTCCGACAGTAAAATTAATATTTTAAAATTTATTCAATCAAAGTAGATTGAATAAAAATATATAAAACATATATAAGTATCATAGATTTTTAAGGTGTGACTGATTAAAAGATATAGAGGAATTTAATTTTTTTATAAGTAATTAAACTATTCTAAAATTAATGAAAAAACATAGTATATAAGATCAGAGCAATTATACACTTTCTTCGTTAAAAAATATAAAATATTTTTAACTGAATCTTACCTCTCAATAAAGTAATTACATACTTTGAAACTAACCCTATTTTTTCATATTTATTCATATTAAACACTCTATAATAAATATAAAGTCATTATTTAAAAAGACATTTTTGAAAAAAAAAGGTAATAATTACACCTCAAAAGACTAAAAATATTTTATATTTTTTAATATTCAACTTCTTAAAAAAATTTTTATATTTTTTAATGATAATAGTAAGTCATTTCAACTTGAAAATTAATTGCAAATGAATCATTTAAGCTTGCAGAGAATTAACAAATTGTATTGGGTTTGTTTGTATAGCAATTTTTCTTTTTCTCCGAGTGTTTGGACGCGATTCTCTCAATGTGATATATTGTTCAAAAATAATATCTTGTCAATCCACTCTACAAGGTAGGAACTGCCCCTCCATTTGAATGGAATAAAAAGTTGAGAGGAAAAAAAATTAATAAGAAAATATTATCTTTTTTTATGTTTGAATGAACATAAAAAAATAAAGAGGAAAGAAAATGAGCAACTATTAATATGACTATAATGTCCTTATATTAGAATATATTATGTTTTGTATAATTATTTATATAAAAATAAATTGAAGGAAAGATTACATTAAAACTAATTTCATTGAAATAATTTAAAATCAACTTATTTATTAAAAAATATATTTTCATGTTATTATATCTTAAAACCAAATAATATAGTAAAAATATAATAACATGAAATAAAAAATATTATAAACTTTACCTTTTTTTTATAACTAGTCCACTATAATATTAGTTAGTTTATAGGTCTTCACTATTATAGAAGCAATGGCCGCTGCGATTAGTCATCATTATTATTACCACTTAAATTTGTTTGTTGTCATGTTTTTGTTTTTCTTGATTTATCAAAAAAAAAAATCAAAAGCATTTCTGGGTGATGACAAACAGGGAAAACTAAAGTTTTCTTTCCTGTATTTTCCTCACATTTTCTCTCCATCCAAACAGACCTCTCTCTCTCTCTCTCTCTCTCTCTCTCTCTCTGCCTGCGCGCGCGCGCGCTGAGTCTCTGAAAGACTGAAACAAATGATAAATGTCGTTGGCTTTTCATTTATCCTCAAATTGTTGAGCGAGGTCCACTCTGACTGTTTTCGACTGCTTTTTTTTAATATAATTTCCCGTTTCTCCTTTTCTGCCTTAAAATATCATAACACGAGGAAATAGGGCTTGATTTTTCTCATATCCGGCCGTTCCTCTCTCAGAATTGTGCATCTTTATATATATATATATATATATATATCTATGTACATATACCCGCCATTTTATTGTGAGATCATAAATATAGATTTCATAGTCGTCTTCTCCCTCCTTGTTCTCATTCTCCGTGTCGTTTGTCGCTTGTCCTTTCCCTTCCTTTCAACAACCTACCTTTCTCTCTCCTTCAATTAGTTCAAGTAATTGCTGATGAAACTGGAGCACAAGGACGAGGGGATCGCCGATGCAGGCATGAAGAGGTATAGGAATGGTGAGATTTGGGATTTCGAGCACGAAATGCCAGTGGCGGATGGTGCCTCCGGCGTCGTTTTGGGGTTGGATGGCGGCACAACCTCCACAGTTTGCATTTGCATGCCCATAACCCCCTTTTCCCACCCTCAAATCGAATCTCTTCCCATCCTTGCACGTGCTGTTGCCGGTTGCTCTAATCACAATAGCGTCGGAGGTAATTCTCTGTTCTTTCTTGTAGGAATCATGCATTTGTTTTCTCTGTGGGGTAATTTTTTTCTTCTTCTTTTTTTTTTTTTGGTGAACATCTGCCTCTGGGATTGTTGTTAACTCTTGGTTTTTCCTTTGTTCCTCGTTGGGGAGAATAAAGGGGCCGTTTACTTGGTTTGGACATACATTGTAGAAAGGAGGGTGCTTTTCATTTCGATAACTTGTTGAAGAAGTTCATTTTTCTAGTGGAAAATGTAGTTATTATTATTTTTTTAATGGCAATAATAAAAAACGAGACGGATGCAAAGCTTGATGTCTAATGTTGGAAATTGTTGAGGACATCTACTTTCTTTTAACAATTGTTGAATTGTTGGTCTCTGTTCCTGTATTCACTTCTCTTCAAGATTCAGGGAAAGAAGTGATTTTAGCCATGCATTGTCTCATATATATAGTTTCTTTCTCGTTTTTTCTTATCCTCTTTTCCTTTTCTTTTTCACACACTCACGTGAAGTGAAAAGGAAACTGCTCATTTTCTCGCTTCACGGCCTGGATATGTTGTATCCATCTACCTCCTCCATGTGGAACATTAGACTTTTAAGTGTTTCATGATGAAACTCCTTTGATCATCCTAACTTATAAGTTTATTGTACATTTTCAACATTGGAATAACTTCCTGGTGTCCATTTACTTTGGAAGATTAAGTTTTCCTTCAAGGCCAAAGCTTCTCTATCTTACCTCTATGTTGCTTCTTTCGTGGAATTTTTTTTTTTTTTTTTGGGTGAGGTAGTACAATAGATGATTGAAGTACATCACACAAGACTCTGCCGGAATTTTTGTTGACTCATTTCATGGTTTTGGGTGAATACGAGAGGATGAAATTTTTAGAAGACGGGCAAAGTTTGTAGTACTATAGTGGTTTAATATTACCGGCATCTGTAAGTATTAGATGCGGCCTCTTCGTTTACTTTGGGAGAGGATCATCTATTTGGCATTCTTTAATAGTCTGGTAATGGGGTTTTTAGATCCCACCCCTTTGCATTTACATCTTCACATTACATTATGTCTCGAGAGGATTTCTTGTACACATGTGGAACCTTTTCTTCTCATGTCAATGCAAATATTATGCTTTTATGTTGTTCTTATTGAGTTCTTTAGGGGTATAACTAAGATGATAGAATGGAGATAACATTGTAAAATTAGTCATGCTGTTACAATTTTTTACTTCTACAGAAACTGCTGCAAGGGAAACATTAGAGCAAGTTATGGCAGACGCACTTTCAAAATGTGGCTCAAAACGATCTTCAGTCCGAGCTGTTTGCTTGGCTGTTTCTGGTGTTAACCATCCAACAGATCAACAAAGGATTCTCAATTGGCTTAGGTTGATATATGTAATTTTTCTATTTTTCTCTTTTAACTGCTAAAAGAAAGTAAATAATCTTTCGTTCATTTTGTCTTTTCATTTCATTTAGGTGATGCATCAAACTGTTTTATTCTGGAAATATCTTGTTTATTCTTGATGTGATTTTCATGTCTGATTCATAAAACATATTTCATATTATGTTCTCTCTCTTCATCTGGGGAAAAATCTCTGAAAACAATATAGGCTGACTACTGAGTGCTGCCATGAATAAATTATCAAATGTAGTAGGTCTTCATTTTTTAATGGTGAAGTGAATAGAAATCACCGATCCTTCAGCTTCCTGATTATGTTTTACTCCATAGTACTTTGTGTAAGTTAGATTGAATATTGCTGGATGTCATTTCCACAACGTTTTAATGAGTTTGATTAATGAAAGTGGGGCGATATTATAGTATAAGGCAGCTTCTTCACCCATTATACAGTGCTAATTAAATTTCAACTTGTTTGTGTATTCTGCCGGTGCAAGTTTTAAAAGTTTTTCTTCATGTATAGTGCCATATTAGTTTCTTTATTCTCTTACAAACAGGAGTAAGGCTGAATCTCTGAATTTTTCAATATGTTTTGGCCTTGCTATTTCAGAGATATATTCCCAAGCCATGTGAGGCTGTATGTTCAGAATGATGCTTTGGCTGCTTTGGCAAGTGGAACAATGGGCAAACTCCATGGGTGTGTATTAATAGCTGGGACAGGGACCATTGCATATGGATTCACTAAAGATGGCGGAGAAGCGAGGGCTGCAGGTGCAGGACCAGTCTTAGGTGACTGGGGCAGGTAATTCAGTGGTGCTGTTTCTGTGTCTCTCATGGCCGCTCTCTCTGTATTGATTTGAATGATTATATTGAAACTATAATGAAAGTCAAAGTTTAATTATATATTTTAGGTGTGTAGTTCAATGAATATCCATCTTTTGTCCTTCTAATCTTTTCAGGTATGGATATATATTTCTACCTTGTTATGCCTTTCTCGCATGAGTATGACTGCTTCCAATGACCATTTTTAAGAGGAAAACAATGTGCCCCACAAGAACTGTTGATAAAAGACAAATAACAAATTAACTTTCAGACATTCCCGAACCTATTAAATAGCTTTGGTTTATTGTTGAAAAATTCTTCTCTCTCTCTCTCTCTCTCTCACAGACACGCAGAGGCTAAGGAAGTTAGCTTTTGTTGAAAAAGAGATGTAGCACTGTAATGCACGGATAGGGAACTCAATTAGCTAAAAAAGGGTTCCATGTGTGTAAAGTGGAATGACCTTACTTTTCTAGTATGCTCTTTTGCTGTCATCTAACATCACTTTTCTGGTATGCTCTTTAGACGCCATCAAACGCATTGGTTGATGGGTTTTTTTCCTTGCAGTGGATATGGAATAGCCGCACTGGCATTAACTGCTGTAATTAAGGCATATGATGGCCGTGGTCCAAGTACAATGCTAACAAGTAGTATTCTACAAAACTTGGTCTTTCTTCCCCTGAAGAAATAATTGGGTACATATTTTAGTTATATACAGCCTCTAGTTCTCGCAGTGTCAGGGATCATTTTAACTCAAAAGCTTAACTTATTTGATTTTTAAGAGGAGGAGGGGGCTTAACTTTGTAAAGGGTAGGTCTAGGAATAGTTTTATTGTAATCTCGTGCATTAATATATTTGTGGAGGACGTAGTGTCACAACCTTTATTTGTCTCATTGAAAATCAGGTGGACCTATGCAGATCCCTCTTGGGCTCGTATTGCAGCACTTGTCCCAGTTGTGGTGTCCTGTGCAGAGGCTGGAGATGAGGTCGCAAATAATATCCTGCTTGATTCTGTCAAAGAACTGGCTTCAAGTGTGAAAGCTGTTGTAGAGAGACTTGGATTATGTGGTGAAGGTCCGGTATTTTTATGATCAGTCTTATTAGTAATTGACATCTGTGCTCATCATAATATTAACATTAGATATTCCTGGTCTTGGATAAAGGAAAAACTAGTTAAAGTAGGCAACATAACTAACTATTAAGTGCTTAATCGGGGAACTTTTGTGATTTTAAGTTCCTGCTGGGGTGATTGTCTAACCTGAAGAGCTGATTCAGTTTATACTCATCTGTGTATATACAGGTGTCTATGAGCATAGAGGTGCCTGAGTTGAGCTTATATAGTTGCAGTTCGATATTAAGCCACATGTTATCTATAGAATCATAAGATGCTGGTTGCTTTTCTATCTGCTTATTGAAAGCTCATACACCTGTTTAAGTCATCTTGTATGTTGATTTTAGTAACTTGCATTTTCTTCCATGGCATATTACTGTCTTTAAGAATCTTGGACTTCAGCAGGAGTTTCATAGAGTTGTATTAACAAGAAACTTCTTCCAAGTGTCCATTGTTGTGGGGGAAGAGAGGATCCTTTTGCTGGAACCTGGAATTGCTTGAATATCTACAATATAGATGCATCCTCTCTTGATAAAAATATTATGATGGGTAGTTTGGTGTACTGTTATCATTGTCATTCAACATGATTTGCTGGGATTTTAGAAAGTTGGGGAATCTTCTTCTGGTGATGCGTGTGTTTTTCTAACTTGTTAGCCATTCAAGAATTAATGTTACAAGCTAAGTGAAAGTGTCAAAGGATATAGGATAATTGAGATTGTTATCAAATTCCTTATCTGTAGTTTAGGTTTAGTATAACCTATTAATGTTATAGCCATTACCTACTTATCATTGTCTCTAGAAGTTGTAATTCTTGTGGAGAGTTTCTTTTCATATTCAGATTTATCAAGATTAATTAATAATGAGGATAAATAGGGATTCAATCAATAGAGTGTATACACACTACAAATGAGCAAGGCTTTCCATTTACCACTTTTTTTGCTTTAACCTCCAATTCAACAAACACGATGCCTCAGGTATTTTATGTTTGGGTTAAGAGTCATTTTTGCTCTTCAATTGTATACAAAAGATCACTAAGGATCCTAAATTTAACTGTAGGTCAATTCTATCCTTCACCTTTTAAAATCTAAATCTCCGTGCCCTTAAGGTTAAATCTCCTTTTTTTGCCGGTAATGGGTCCCACCTTTTTTTTTTTGACCAATCTCTCTTTTCCTCCACATCACTTCTCTCTCTCCCCCTCTCCCCGCTCACGCACACACTACTCCAGCCATGGCTTCTACTGTACACATTTATCCGGTTTCCTTCTCTAGCCAAGGCCATATCAACCCTCTTTGTAGACTTGGCAAACGCTTAACCTCAAAGGGCTTGCTCATCGCATTTTGCACCCCAAAAGTTGGGCCAAACAGATGAGGCAAGCCAGTAATATTTCCAACGAGCTGAGACCTCTCTCTCCTCCATTTTCTCTCTCCCTCCCTTTGTCCTCTCCCTTCTCCCTTCCTCTCTCTCTTCCTCGTCTTCAACCTCATTCTCCTCATGTTTCTTTGCTTCCTTTGTTCTCCCACCTCTAAAGCAATTGAAGCCCCCACTTTCCTTCATGAACACTGCATAAGCACCGAAACCTTTGCTCAAAACAGCACCTTCCACTTCAACCTCAGAACCCTCCTTGATTCCTTAGCTACCCGCGCCACCTGCCATGCTCAATCCTATACTGGGATGCCATTGTCAAGTACCATAAGCTTCTCCTCGTGATTGTTATTCTGGTCATCGAACAGCGTGGATGGGTTTGGTGTAGTGGTAGATGACGACGGCTATAAACCAAGCCATTGTCATCAGAGAACATCAACATGAGTTGGCCATCATCAAGCCTATCAAACCCAAGATGGGCTCCAACGCCACCAATCGAGTTCTAACATTCCTTAAGGGGAGTCTGTTGAGGAAGGCAATGGAATCGCTCATAGATTGCTGGTGAGGCCCCTAAAGTTTTGATGAGAAGTCAAGGATAGAACCTTTTGAAATCATGGCTTGCTAGTTACTTCGTTAGGGCGTGCATTAGCTTGACTTTATGTCATGGGTTCGATTCAACATGATTCCTCAAAAGTCGAGGGGGGAGAGAGGGGGGGAGATGAGATGGACAATGGAGATGGGAGATGAAGTGAGAGAGAGGGGGTGAGGTGTTAAAAATAAAATAATAAAATATAAAAGTGGGCCCCACCATTATATTTTATTATTAAAAAAGCTAGGTTAAGCAAAAAGTGGGGTCCACTAACAAATATTTTAGCCACATTGATGTGGGGCATGGAGATTCAGATTTTAAAAGTTGAGGGACATAGTTGACCTACAGTTGAGTTTAGGGTTCCCAGTGACCTTTTGCCTACAGTTGAAGGACAAAAAATAACCCTTCACTCTTTATATTTCATGAAGATTCTTACTAGTAACCAGTAAGCTCTCCAAAATTGTGTCACTTTCTGACTAGAAAACTATCTTATTGAATCTAAAACGGATATTTTGCCTAGACCTTGAAAGGTTTAACCGATAGTTCAATTGATTTTATTACATACACATAGCAGCAGTTAGTTCTCTTCAGGACACAATTGCTAGCCTGTGTTGTGTCGGTGCTGAAGTTAATTATAGTTGGTTATAAAATTTGAATAATCTTACCTAGGCCTAGATCTCTGTTTGGAGTATTGTGCATGATTTTTAATGTTGAAGTAGCAATGATAATTTATGGCTGATAGTTTCATTTTCCTTTTTCTTTCTTTTTTTTTTTCAGATGGAAAGGGTACTTTTCCCCTTGTTATGGTTGGTGGTGTTCTTGAAGCAAACAGGCGGTGGGATATAGGAAAAGAAGTCACAAACCACATCTCTAAACACTTTCCCGGTGTCCAGCCCATTAGGCCTCAGGTCAGCTTAATATTCTATATTTTGTTGTTTATCTTGATTGATGCACCAACGAAAAAACACGTGGTGGGTAAACATAGTGAGAAAGAGTTGCATGAAAATCAGATCTTATTTCCAGCTAAGTTGTATAATTCACCATACTCCTTTCTGGCTGCAATTTGCAAACGAGTGTTAAAAAATCACACACAATAAAGCTGATCAAGCAGGAAATTGGAAATCATGGGTAGCATTTTTGTGATGTCTAGAATGTCATGGCAAAAGAACCATCCTGATATTGTTGGGTAAAAAGAATGCAACTTGGAGATTCAACTCATGCACACTTTGCACACTAAATTTGACACAAGGCCAAGAAACTTCGTTTTCTTCATTTCTCCGCATTCAACTCAATGCATTATATTCAGCGCTTTGGTATCTTTGGACAATAGCTGCCTATAACCATTTCTTTCTAATTAAGTAATTTCCTTTCACTCGCACTTTATCAGATCACCCTTTTATTGTGACAGGCTCACTGACCTCAGTAGTGTCGTCAGCAATATTCTTTACAATTTCAATTGGACACAAATGTTTATAAAACAAAGACAAATTTGCGGTATTTAAGTGCTCTTATAGAGATACTTTATAAACCTTTATAGTAATCTCTCCCATTCTCACATGCGCCCTTTTAATTTCCTGTGCAACATCAGGTTGAGCCTGCAGTTGGGGCAGCGTGGCTGGCATGGAATTCTTTCATGAAAGAATATCACAAAGAAATATGCGGAAGCTGAATGGATGGAATGATGGTTAAGAGAAAAGAAAACAAAAAAAAAGGTGATGTAAGGTACTCAATATTGTTGATTAATGTGGTTAACATTGTCAAATTTACGCTGAAATAAACTGGCTTTACATATAGTTTATGTGCCTTGAGTAGTTTCCTTGCACTTGTCAGGCCCGCTTTCATCCTTCCACACACTCCTTCCTTCCTATTATTTTTAGTTAACTTAAACATTATATATGATGTAAATACTTCTTTGTAATGGAGTAAGCAGGTTCGAGTCTCATTATGGCTTTGTTGTGCATTTTTTGATTTCCTCTTCCCAGTATCTTGGGAAATGTATTACCACCACCAATCTACAACAATCCGAAATCACCAACGGCAGTCTCACTAATACTTTGAAGATGGCTTTAATATTTTTATTTAACATAACTGCATGTTTTAGAATTTACTCCAAGATAAGTTGGTTAAACTTTGATTAGTTGAACCAAACACCTTTCAAATATGCTGTGCTAGAACCGTGCTATATTGTTTCTTTCAGTGTTGGGGGCAACTTTTTTTCTTTTGATTATTACACAGTATGGCAGAAATTTTGTTAGTAGATTATGCTTTTTGCCTAACAAGGTTGGTCTCAAACCATGCATTAGAGGTAGTTAAGTTTTTTTTTTTTTTTGGGTCAAAAGAAATTCATTCATCAGAGCAAAAAAGGGCAGAAGGCCTATAAAAGGTAGCAAGTTGGTGAGGAGTTGGAAACAGAATGCGAATACAGTTCAAGAGTTTAATGCCAGAAAAAGAGTGAGATGAGCCGTAAGTTACAAATCTTATGGAGTTCAATTAATCTGATTTAGCCTCATGAAAGCTTATTTTGTGTGCAATTTTGGGATGGATTTGTCTTAACACAAGGTGAATGTTGCCTAGAGAGTACAAAGTGGAATTAGGAAGGATGAAATTCAAATTCACAAAATGAGATCCAGTGCTTGTTAAGGTGAGATTGGGACATGCTTATGAGACACATCAATTGCAGAGGCAATGCGATAGTGTGTTTGAATAACGTTTTTAACCGATTATTTGAAGAAAAATCGATTAAAAATGAAATTATTCAAACACTCATAAAATAGATTAATTGATTTTTGGGTTAAAATTAATTTTTTTTGAAAACTGAGAAACCGAGCGTTTGTGAAAAACCTAATCAAAAACATTGAAAAAAATTATAAAAAAAGCTCAAAAAAAATTACAAAAAAACATATAATTTAAAAAAAATAAATTAAACCCTCTCCTCTCTTCTTCTTTTTTTTTTTCTTAAATTCAAACTTTATATTTTCAAAAAATTTAATATTTAATATTTAAAAATTAAATTATATAATAATTTATATAATTAAAATTAATTCTAATTAAATTATCTAAATATCTTTAATTCTATTAGAATTAATTTTAAAAAAAAACATTTAAATAAATTGCATTATAATATAATCAGTTATAATTAAAATATATTATTTAATTATTATTTTTTAATCTATATATCCAACTAAAATTCAAATGGGCACATAAACAATCTTTGCATAAGAGATTTTTCATGGTCAGCAAGGTTTGTAGAATCGAATTATGAATCCATCCCGAGTTAGCTAGTTTGCTTTTAGTGGATTGTCATAATTTGCTCAGCTATTAAGCTGGGCTTGTATTTATCATCCAAAAAAAGAGGACATCCCCTCTATTCTAAGAAAAACAAAAGGTGAAACTTCCCCTCCCAATAGTTAAGATTTAATGTTTTATAAAATTATTAAAATTTGAAATTTATGAAAAATAAATGAGTCCAAGGAATCACAACCAAATAATCCACATCAAGAACACCAAAAGCAGCCTTGAAGCGGGAAACCATTTTTGTAATATAAAAGCTAATACCCTAACTACTATAGATAACAGTCGTAAATAGCGAACAGTAAGGAAAATGTAGCAGAAACACCTCCAGCAAAAGAAATTATTTAAGCCAAGACCAAAATGAGTGCAATCAATTTTAACTATAGTAATAGTAATCCCCCCCCCCCAACAAAAACGCCAAGTTTCTCAGTAAATTATAGAGGGGGAAAATAGAGAGAAAAGAAGCTTCTCGTCATTCGCTCTCTCAATTTATATAGAGAAAAAGAATTCCTACACAGCAATTCAGGGGCATTGAAAGAGGATGATATTATATAACATCAATCCCAGCAAAAACAGTCCTGATTCAAGTGATTACAATCTTCTGTATACAAGAAGCCGAAAAAGTAATTGATCCTCAATTTATTACATAAAATCGACTTGCTGACGTTATTACATAAACTCAGTAACATTAAATTCAGTTAATCATTTCACGAACCACCAAAAAGCACCAGGATAAACGAGGGTAAAGATAAACAAATTAATGATGATAGTATTACTATTACCATTCAATTAGCAAGCCATGATAGTTTTTCTACTATATAGTAGAAGTTAAGTATAAACAGAGAAGCACCCTACCCTTTCGTATATATTTTAATCTGCTCCCATCAACTGCTAGAAGGAATTTAAGTCGAATTACTATGCCCCATTTGAAGTTGCCTCTTCAAAACTTCCAATTAAACTTAAGAGGTACTTCATGCAGTAAACTGCGAGAAAAGAAAGACAAGGAGCCAAACAAATCTAGAGAGGCTTGCTGGAACTTGTAGATGAAAGCTCCCTGCCTAAATAAGTATAGGTGTAAACAGTGATCGCTATGCCATAATCTCATTCATCCTTGTAATAATGTAGGGATAAAGCCTACATGCATCAAATGTCAGAGTAAATGACAGCAATTAACTCTGCAAGAGGCCAACACTAGGATCTGCAGACGGACACTTACCATAAAATCAGAATGGCCTTCTCCCACTGCTTTGATCATTATTCTGCTCATTCCCAAAAGCACCAAAACCATCACTACCTCGAGAGTCACCAAAGGCATTCCTTTGGTTTGAATCTCTGGCACCAAATGCACTAGATTGACCTGAGCCAAAACCACCAGAACGATCTGAACCACCAAATCCACTGCTGCCGCTTCGACGACTAAACCCAAATCCTCCCGTGTTTCCTGCTCGGTCTACACTAGATTTGCCAAAGCCACTGTCTGATGGTCCAGAGCCAAAGCCACCAAAGGAGCCAAAACGTCCAGAGCTTGGTCCATTGCCCGAAGAATTA